AGGATAGGTGGGAAGGGAGGGATTGGGGGGGGGAGAAAGGGAGCATTACAATTCACATGTATAATAATGTGGGGGGGCATGGGGAGGGCTGTGCAACACAGAGAAGACAAGTAGTGATTCTACAGCATCTTACTACACTGATTACAGTGACTGTAATGGGGTTTGTGGGGGGGGACTTGGTGATGGAGGGAGTCTAGTAAACATAATGTTCCTCATGTAATTGTAGATCGTTACCAAAATATTAAAAAAAAGAGGGAAACAATTATCCAAACATGAAACTGTCTCCTAAGTAAAAGAATTTTCAAATTAAAAAAAAAAGTGGTTTTAGGATGTTTGTCTTTGATGAGACATTAAGTCCCTTCAGCATGCTAAAGTGAATCTTACACATGATCATAAACAATTAGCATAATAAAAACATGGGCTACTTTCCTTTATCTGGGGAGTATCAACTGATCTCACTGAAGAATGACTCTAGAGCTTAATGTTTAATACAGAGTTTTGGTAGATTTCCTTGCATGTAGTTACATTGCTCTGACTGTAAATATCCTGCCTTGCTTTTTCCGGAGGCCCTCACTCTACTCTGACTACACCCGTGGTCCCTGTCTCACCAGCAGTTTTGCTTCTCAAAATGTACGTTTTCATACAAGATGTTTAAGAACATCCACTCTGCAACCCTCTTTAAAGCACTCAAACTTTAAAGCAGGGAAGGACCTACATGCCCAGTAACAAGGACTGGTTAAATAAATTATTTTATACTAATTAAATAAAAGACTCTGCAGCAGTGAAGAAGTATGAAGTAGAGCTTAGATTCCTCAGTTATTAATAAATGAACAAAAATCAAAGCACAATATATAAAATACATTCTATTTATTTTTAAGAAAAAACATGTCTGAGTGTGGAGGCATACTTGTATATGCACGTAAATTTCTTAAAGGATATAAAAGAAGCTGTTAACTATGGCAACCTATGGAAAACCAAAAAGCAGGAAGATCAGGGAATACATTTTATGATATACTCTCAGAACTATGATTTTCAAACAGTAATATATGTAATATATTACAATAACATTTAAGTTTATAAATAAGTTTTTGGTTATCTGAAATTTTGAAATTTATGTATTCCTAAATAGGCCAGATTAAATGTCATTTCCCTGGACATAGAAGCTACAATCAAACTTATATTTCTTAGCTCTATTACAAAGAACTGTATGAATGGATTCCTTCCCTACACCTAAATTTTCTAGCTACCTGGAGGCCATTTTCTCCTGATTCCTATGGTACAAAAAGCCTTTCTGGTGTCATATTCCTTCTAAGAAACTCCTAAGAGTTGTGAGCCCTCCCTGCCACCACCATTTTTTGCCTGCTTATCTCAGCTCCCTCAACAAGAATGCTCTTTCAAGAATGCATTCCCTCTTTCCTCAGATTAAGTCATGTCCACTGGTTAAACAGTCTAATAGCACCATGTATTTCTACATATCGTTGTAATTTTATATGTCTGTGATTATCTGGTTAATGTCTATCATCCACAGTAGACTGTGATTCTTTGATTAATGCCCATCACCCATACTAGACTGTAGGGCCAGTCTTTTTCTCACTGTTACATTCCAAGTATCAGGGCAGCATGTCACAGATGCCAAATAAATTTCTATCAAATAAATGAATCCTTAGTGCTTGGCATGCAGTAAATGCTCAGTAAATGTTATTCATTTACATGGCACTGTGGAGTCTGTACTAGGAAAAGAGTAGGAATAACGGAAAGCACTGTCAGGCAACTGAGAAAGGACCCAGCTGAGGTTGGGTAGCATTAATTTGTTTTTTGGGAATTTCTTTAGCAGTGTTCAGTAGGCCTGAAGCAAGAATGGTTATCCAGAATGAGGAACTGGCTACTGACTTGCAAAATCATCTTTAAAACCTCTGATTGGGAGGTATGGCCTTGAAGGGAGAAAAGTAAGGTTTCTTCCTGCTTACAATACCCACCTCCCCACAATCCGTCACTATCTTCTGGGTCTAGTGAAACCTATTTGTCCTTTAAAACCGACCTCAAATGCCCTTCTTCTGTAAAGGATTCCATATCTCCCAAACAAAAGTAGTCTTCTCCCTATTTGCTCCCAAGGTTCTCCAGACTTAGTTATCATTTATCTATTAATAATACTTCTTATACCCTGATGAATACAAAGGTGTCAATCCTCATTTTATTTGATCTTTCAGCTGCATTTGACAAAACTGAATTACACTACTTCACCCTGAATTCCACGACACAAGACTCTCAAAACTGTCCTTGTCCCTCACTGGCTATTTATTCTGTTTCCTTTGCTGATCTGTCATTTCCCCAAACCTCTAAAGGCTAAAATGTCTAAGGACTCAGGTCTTGTAACTGCTTCTCTCATCTGTTTATATTCACTCCTGGGTGACTGTCTCCAGCCTCTTGAATTTAAATACCATCTGTTCACTGACAACTCCCAAATATTCTTTTCCAGCAATGACCTCCCCACTGAACTCCAGACTTGACAGACTCAAATGCCTGTGCAACACTGAACAAGACTCAGCATCTCCTCTTGTATGACTACCAGACATCTTGAAGTTAACACATAACTGAACTCCTAATCGTCCTGCAAAAGCCTGTTCCTCCCAGTTTTCCACTTCTCAGTTAATAGCGATCCACCCCTCTAGTTGTTCAAGTCCAAAAACCTTAATAACCAACTATCTTATTACTCTTACAACCCACATTCAATCCATAAGCAAATCTGTAGTGTTACCTAGAAAATACATCCAAAATTGAACTGCTACCCGCCACATTCACTTCTTCCCACCCTGTGAAGCTGCCCTCCTCTCACCTGAATTACTACACTCTCCCAGTCTCCAGGCTTTCACCCACCCCACTCTCTAACAGTCTATTTTTAACACAGCAGTCAGAGAGATCTTGTTAAAAACCTAAACCAGATCATGTCACTCCTCTGCTCAGAATTTTCCAATGGTTATTTACCCAGTAGGCTATTCCTTCAAAGCAGAATTCATGTTGCATGACATTTCTATCTCTACATGACTAAAAATGTCTTGCAACATAGGAGGTACTTACTAGCTATTTGTTAACTTACTAAAACCAATGAAAGTACACTGGAACCAAATTTTAGAACTTAATATCAGAACTGAGTTTGAACCAATAGATATCAAGAAGTCACATGGATCAAAAGATACATATTATATTTATATGACAATGTACATTCAGGGGCTATTTCCATCCCTATGCCAAGTAGAGTTACATATAATTATGAATTAAGCCAAAGAACAAATCCAATACATAATTTTTTGGAACTAGAGAGACATCTGTAGATGTTGTATCAGAATTATATTACTGTAATGACTTTTTTGCACTACATTATCTTTAGAAAGTAATAGTGAAATACATACACTAGCTCAATAAATATTGCTGTCTTTCGTAGACAGTCCATGTTACTGTTGCCTGTAAATGTCCTTCAGACTTATAGTAAAATCCCTGAGAAAAGACAGACTTCCTTTTAAACATTTTTAACATTTTCCTTTTTAACATTTAAAGACGTTAACCTCTAAATACAAATTTATCCCAAAGTCTGATAATAGAAAATGATATAAATTACAAAGATTCTGCTCAAGATTCAGATAAATAATTAAATCAGATTATAATGGATTTACTTCGGTTGTTTAATTCTAATGTTTAATTGGAAGCGTTATGATAGGGAGCAGCAAATTACCTTTCAAAATCATGGAACTTGCTTATTACATTTTCATCTCTAAGTGTTTAACAGTGTATAGGCCTATTGCGCAGGTTAAATGAACGATATAGGTAAAGCTATTAGAATGGTGTCTGCCTCAGCACTCAACATGCATTAGCTAGTAAGATTACTAATTATTTTACTAAAGTGAAAATGATCAAATATCCTAATCCAAGTTGGACTATTTAAAACCATTATTGAAGGGTCAACTGTTGGGAAACAGTAACTGAGATAACACACATAAACATCCATTTGAAAAGTGATATCTAAATGTGAAACATACAACACAACTACTTGAATGCAGCTTTAACATCTTTTGACTGAGAATTTGGTTTCCATTATTTTGAAAAACCATTGTTTACACTGCCACAATTTCATCTTTCAGCAAGACAATGAGTTTTATCATTCCAATCACCAACAATTTTCTGAATTCGAAATGTTTGGATCCAACGTCAGCATGCGGTTAAGTCTACTATCAAACCATCTAAACAGGTTAATAAGTCGGTCACAAACGATTCTCTGACTTTGGAATTTTCGGATCCAACAACATGCGGTCTAGTCTACTATCAGACAATCCAAATAGGTTAATAAGTGGATAGCAAACATCTCATGGGGCAGATACACTTTTATCTCGCCAAAACTGAACTGCAGTCAACAGGAAGACATTCAAGGTATTTCCAAACAGAAGTTTAAATGACACTAAACTTTCCTGGGCCATAAAGAAAAACTTTGAGATTACCCGTGGCAGATTTCACTTAAAGGTCGAAATCTGCCTACCATCTCAGGTGGGCTAAAACTGCAGCGGCAGGCAGCTCGTGATTATATGAGAAAGATTGTATGTGAATGATAAACGTGGATGACATGGAAAAGTTACTCCCCTACACCTTACGCTTTGGCCTTCCTCCCTAATGAAGGTCTGATCACAGCTGAAAGTTAATTGTGAAGTCGCGTTTTTAATTTCTCCCCCTTCCAACATTTGAGAGACAGGGCTAAGTAGCGAAGAAAGCCAAAAACCGGACCGAGAGACGTGAGGTGCCGAGGTAAGCCAAAGCCGGCCTGCAACCACAGGGCCAGAGGGGTGGGGGTCCCGCGGCAACGCGGCCCCGAGGCTTGGGCATCGCGTTCGCAGAAGACTACGCAGCCCGACCCGCTCTTCACAGCCACCTGAGGGATGGAAGGGGAGCCCGAGGACAGAGGAAACGGACTTAGGTAGAAGCAAGAGAAAAACTCAAAACCCAGGTTTAAGTAATACCTCGCTGGTCTTCCCCTCCTGTCTCCGGACAGAATTCGGACCGCGGTGACGTTAACGAGGCGCCGACTTTGCCCTCAGAGCGAGCGGCGCTTTCTGATGACCTCACTCTGATCGCCCCGCCCCTTCCCTCCTTCCTTCAGCCTCTCAAAAGCACTGTCCTAATGTGCTTTCCGGACACCATGTGGAAGGAGTTTGGGGCTAGATGCTGAGCAACTTTTCCAGATTTGTATTCAGCAAACAACCACCCAAAGTACAAGTTGAGTGTATTTAACCAGAAAAAAAATGTTAGTTACCAAAGCTTTGTTCAGGTTTTTACTTTCACTGAAGCTCGTTACAGGGCCCTGGTTCTCACTACAGTCCCATTATGTTCTCAAAATTTGCCTCTTCCAAAAAAGCAGCTTCCCAAGTAACCCGTGAAGAAGAGGTTCGTAATTTTTCCAGTCCATCGCTAAGAAATACTTTTGTAAAATACAGTAAAAATGAATTATTTGAAAAATGGGAAAAGATCGCAAAATGCAAACCAAGATTGTTAATAACTAGTTTAATAACTAACATTACATTTCAATAAGTACAATCGGAACAAACAAGAGGGAAGAATGAAGTACAAAACTGTACATATTGCTCCTTCAAAGTGCAGTGTCAGGGATTAAAAATCTTTCAATTCCTAAATTTTTATTATTCCTTGAACAAACACCATGTATGTCAACATGTAAAGTTTTAAGTGGCAAATGATCACTCTTCTGGCTTATTACTCTAAGGTAGTTGGATTAACACTTCTAGTACCAAGTGTAGGAGTTTTGCAGGGATAATCGTTAATGCTTATCCTATTTTGCTTTCGATTTGTTTGTCACTTCTTTCTTTCCTTTTTTTTCCCCCCTACGTGCCAAAGAAAACTTGATCATTTAAAACATTCTGGTGGGATGGGAAAATTTAAGATAGGTTGTCAATCCATAAGTCATTTTAAAAACATGGAAAAATTACAATTGCTCCTTTATTGTCTTAGTCCCTTCATGCTGCTATAACAAAACCCTACAGAATGGGAAGCTTATAAACAACAGATACCTATTTCTCATAGTAATGGAGTCTGGAAATCTGAGATCAGAAGTCCAGTATGGTCTGGTGAGGGCTCTGTTCCAGTTATAGACTAGACTTCTTGTTTTCTCACTTGAGTAAGGCAGAAGGGAACTCTTGTCAGGCCTTGTTAATAAAGGAACTAATCCCATCAGGAGGGCTGCACCCTCATGGCTTAATCACTTCCCAAATGCCCAGCAACTAATACCATCACCTTGGGCATTAGAATTTCAGCATATGAATTAGGGTTAGGGGGGACAAACATTCAGACCACAACACTCCTTACCTCACTGGGCGTTATTGTCCTAAGTAATTTACATTAAAAAAATGGAATAAAAACAGGATTTGAATTAGCCAGTTGAAAAAATTATTGTGATAAACCAATGCTTATTTAAGAAATTGATTCCTATTAACTCCTTTAAAAGCCCCTGAAACCTTGACACACAGTAACATCCTTTCAAAAAAAAATCAATGTTTATAGAAATAATGAAAATAAATATATTTATTACTCAAAATAAACCCTTCCTATGAATTACATGGAGCTCTGCTCTGATTTCAAAACTGTCTCCTGCCATTCCCACAAGAAGAATAACCTGACTTTTCTGGACTGACAGTCAAAGCCATGAAGGGAAAAAGACTTGGTTCAGGACCCAGATACCAGTCCCTGTCAATGCTATGTGCATATGTGTTTCAGTTAAGTGCTTTGAACCTAATCTATAAAATCATGATTCACAACCTAATTATTTTTCCTACATTGTACGACACAGATTAGGTGTTATATTTCGCAATTTAAGGCTTTGAGAATATTTCCTTATGTATTCCTTACAAGACCAGGCTTTACTGAATTTTCAGCATTTTAAGATAGGCCCCCTTATAAGAAGCCGAAAGAGTTGAAACAGGTTAGCTGATGAGTTTTCAGACCTTCTCTGTGTCTGTACCTTTTGCCATGTGACTTTGCTATCCTCCCATCAGGACTGATAGTGTATTTTCCCACCCTTTGATTCCCAGCCCCTTAACCACTGGCTTTGTTTTGGCCAGTGGCATAATAGTGAATGTGATAAAAGAGGAGGCTTAAATGTCTGGACTTACTCTATTTTGTACTTCCACCATTATAATGACAAGGATAGGCCTGGCCAGCCCATTGTTCTTGGAGGAGGATAAGAGGAACGTGGAGTAGAACCCAGTCACCGGCTGGACCAGTTGACTCAAAACCCAACCCCCAGGCACGTGAGTGAGCCCAGTCACTATCAGGTAGGCCAACTTAACTGAACCCTTCAGACACCTAAGAAATAAATGTGGAATGTCGTATGCCACACAGCATACAATTTTGTGGCACTAGCTAACTGCCACAGTTCAGTAAATATGTATCAAGGAGAAGAGGGGTGAGTTTGGCTCCTTGAAAAGTCTTAATTCTCCTAGATATTAAGAGTTATTTATTGAGCTAAAAAATGTAAAGGTATCTTACCACCAATATATAACATGTATCCAGTGAGCCTCATTTCATAACATTATAAAGGTGATATTAAATTAAAATTGAAAACTTTTCACCCACAAATCCTAATAACATCTATTGTAGTTACCTAAGCATAGTGTGACTCTGGGGGCTATGGGGGGTGGAGGACATGTTCCCAGCCTGGGGCAAATTACCTTTCAAGCCAAAATCAGTCAAAGGAAGAAATAAAGTGGGAGAAACCAGTTTGAGGCTTACAAGCAGTCATCCACTTCTGCTTGCCCGTGTCTCTCATGACCCCACTGCAAAAAGGGTCCCCACCAAACTTTTCTTTTCCAAATATACCCTCACACCCCCCACCCTTGTAATCACCTATTGATATGGAGATGGCCCACTTCTCTCCACCCCTTGGTAACACCTACTGATATGGAGATGCACTAAGGCCAGGCAAGAGATTCTGGAAATACTGCAATTTTACCCACACATGATTTTATAGATTAGGATAGAAAGACTGATCTGCTGAATTTCTAAAAATGGGAAGTGAAATTTGATAGTAAATTGTGTAAGAAATGGTTTGATTTTTACTCCAATTTGAAAATTGAAAGAAAAGATGGGATTAAAAATTTATTTCATCATTATTAACTATAAGATAAATTTTAACCGAAATAAGCAGGCGACGAGAGGCAACAAAGGGCCAGGCAGTTTATTTGAGTGCAATTCCCGGGTGATGTTCCCTGGTCTGAAACACAGGCCGGGGAAGTCACACCCGGTCAGGGAGGTGGGGACTTTTAAGGGGTTAGGAGGGGGGAGGAGTGAGCAAGCTATCCTAGGGGGCGTGGAGAGGTATGATTGGCTAAAGGTGACATAATAGACAATTAGAAACTTTTTTTCCTTCCAAGAGGGAGGAGGTTGACATCCAGGTCTTAGTTGGCACATCAGAAGGATGGAATTCAGGAAGAGCTGTCCCCTTTCCATATACGGCACAGACCTTGGGGTCTGGTCTGTTCTCCTTTTATGATATCTCTCTGTTCTGTTTGCATGTCCTTGTTTTTCCTTCCTTTAGCCTAACATTAACAAAATTCTGGTTATAACTGCAACACACTAATTCTTACAATGAATAAAGATGAAACCAAATATTGGTTGGGATTTACGTTAAAAATTTTTCTGACAGTTATAAGACACTAAATGCAAGTGTGGTATTCTGAATGGGATCCTGGAACAGAAAAAGGACATTAGTGGAAAAAAATTGGTGAAATCTAAATGAAATTTTAGTTAGCAATGATATATAAATATCAATTTCTTATTTTGACACATGTACCATAGTCATTTAAGATACTGACATTCAGAGAAACTGATAAGGGGTGGTAAAGAACTCTCTGTATCATAGTTGCAACTTTCCTATAAATCTAATATTCTAACATGAAAAATTATTGCAAAATTATTAGATGGTATGACATGACATTCTTCACTTCAACAACACAACCACAGAGAGATCCATTTTTGCAGAAACATGTGAAAACTGTACCGATTTTCCCAAGGGCCTCTCTTTCTTAAAGCACCTATCCTATCCTATCATAAACTGTATAGATTTTTCTCTCTTCAGTGATAACTGGTCTGATTGGTCATATCCTCTCCATTACTTTGCTCAAATAAATAAAATACAGCATCCTTTGCAATATTTGTGATTGCCATTCTGCAGTCAAGTGGCATTTTCCCTCTAAGCATTGGGAAGGAAGGCAACAGACTCTAGAGTCAAATGGGGAGGAATGCTTCAGAGGAGACTAATTTTACAAACAGTCAATTTTTAATAAAATGTTCTATATAACCTCACAACTGTAGGAATACAGATCATTAATATTTAGAAGGCAGGGACCCCCATGCCTCTACTCTTCCTACTGTTTTGTTTCCTAACAAAACAACCATTGAGAATTGGCAGCCAATGAAATAGGGAAAAGGCCCAAGAGAGATATAAATGAGGAATACAAGCTATATTCATAGATTTTCCTCCTTCCATGAATCATGATGTCATAAGAAAGACCCTCAGAAGCATATGACAAGAATGATCAAATCCCTGTCTCCCCAAGTGTGTGTCTCCACAAGAGGCAGTAATTCACATGAGCAAACAGAAGTTAGAAAACACAGGCCCAAATCAAGTTATAATGTGACACCTCCAAACATGCGTATGTCAATTTTTATATGTCAGATGATTACAAAAAGATCACAAAAAATGCTAATTCCCATAGAATTTCAGGGTCCCCAAAATTTGTCCTTGGACCCTCCAGTTAAGAAACATTGGCTTTCAGGGTTTAGCAGAAGAGGCAGTGTAGTATAGTGGTACAAGCACATCTCTAAAGTCAGAATTCCAGGTTGTAACCCCAGCACAGAATTTAAGAACTGTCTGACCTTCTGCGTGTTACTTTTCTTCTCTATGCATCTGTCCCCTCATCTGTAAAAGGAGATGGTAATAGTATGTTCGTCATAGATGGTTAGCAGGATTAAATGAGAAAATCTAAGGAAAGAAGATTCAATTGTACCTGGCATTTGGTACTTCCCCCTCTGCCTTCATACTCTACAC